TTGGAAAAGGAGAATTAAAAGTACAAGGCTATGTAGATGCAGACTTCGGAGGTGAAGTCAATCACCGAAGAAGTACCACCGGTTACATTTTTACTGTTGGTACTACAGCTGTCAGTTGGATGTCGCGGATACAGAAGATTGTTGCTTTATCCACTACAGAAGCTAAGTATGTAGCAGTAACAGAAGCCAGTAAAGAGTTGATATGGCTTCAAGGTTTGTTAACAGAGCTGGGATTCATCCAAGAAAGGAGTGTTTTGCACAGTGACAGTCAGAGTGCAATACATCTGGCGAAGAATTCAGTGTTTCACTCTAGAACAAAGCACATTGATATACGTTATCACTTCATCAGATCTCTGCTTGAGGATGAGGTGCTAACATTGAAAAAGATTGTAGGAAGCAAGAACTCAGCAGACATGCTAACAAAGGTGGTGACTATTGACAAACTGAAGTTGTGTTCAACTTCAGTTGGCCTGCTAGAATAACAGATCATGAAAAGACTGCTACATTGATTGAGGTGTGAAGATAGATTGAAATCAGTCTTCAAGTGGGAGATTGTTGAAAAGTCAAGAACGGTGTGCCATTTTCGGTACCTAACATTCGGTTGAATGTTAGCGTTTTCGGTGCCTAACTTTGGTTGAAAAATTAGCAAATTGTGATGCTTTATTGCCTATAAATACGAAGCTCTTCCATCCATTCTTCGCATCCCATTTCTGAGAGAAATAGAGAGCAAATAAGAGAAAGTAAAAGAGAGAAAATAGTTTAGCTTTTGGGTATAATTGAGTTATAGGTTTTGAGTGGTTGTGAGTATTTTTAAGTGTTATATAAACATTGAGTGTATTCCCTTTTTTTCAGTAATATATCTGCAGCAGTCCAGAGACGTAGGCATTATTGTATGAACTCCGTTATCAATTTTGTGTGTGCAAATATTCCGCATTTATTTTTTACTTTTACTAATCTGACGTTACAAGAAAATTCGACATAATTTTCTCAACAGAGACCTTGACGTCATTGTGGTTCTTCCACAACAGCCTGAGCCTGATGATAAACAAATGTGTTTGGAACCCTGCTAGACCGAAGTAAGCTTTAACTGGGACGTAACCTTACCAGCCCATGGTTCAAAGACTATGCCTTGGGCTGTTTCCTTGAACCCTGTGACTTTGGCCATGATAACCCTGAGAACCAAATGGTCATGGTTGCATGTTCAGATGCGGAGAATGCTGCTTTAACAAATGAAAGTGCCACTGCCGCAACACTAAGGGATCCCAGATCTGAAATTCATGCTTGTCTGTATTTTTCAGCATTTCATTAATCGCACTTGGTTGGATTAGCACTGCAGAAATTTTGACAAAATGATTTTCAAGTATCAAGTCTGATGCTTTATACTCACATCTGTAAATAATCCTTGTGATTTTCAAGTTAAGGTACTGCAAACAACCCCCCAACCCTCTTTCTCCGAGATAAATCTAACACTTCGGATATTATGTTTCTTATTTCGATAATATCAATTACAAAGCTATACTTCAAGAAGGATATTCATTAGGTGAAAGGTTCGTGAGCTTACATTTAAGCGTGATTTTCTGCTGCTTCTGGCTATTGTGCGAGTGTTTCTAAACTTATAGTGTACATCAAAATTTCTTCTTTTTTTCCCGTCACACGTCCAATATTTTAAAAATTGACGGTTCACAAAAAATGACGTATTTAGTTTAAGTCTCCCACTCCAGTCGATCAATTGAATTCATGAATTGACAGCATAATCTCAAAGTTCATGGATTTATAATGTTTATAACGACAATTGACGTAAGGTTGTTGCCAAGTCGAATGTCTTATTCATCGCTTGCTAAAGTAACATAAATCAAGAGAGGGGTCGCCTTTTAAGTAACTCCAAAGGGATTTGTGTTCGCTCATAATGGTTGTTAAAATCAAGAGTAAAATAAAACTATTTTACACCTGTCATGTTTAAGTGTGAAAAACTATGAAGACATAATGAACTTACCATTTCGATTTTTGGTATTTCGCTCAATAAATAGTATATTTTTAATGAAATGCTGATTACATTATAAACCTTTATAAGGTTACAATTTAGATTCATCTTACATGATTACTGCATTTTCAATTGAGATTTGACGACAAGCTAAACTATTCAACATGAACTGAGGGAAACTACAAGCTCAAAAGAAAGACACCTACCTTGCCCCTCCCTCCACATTCTAGGGCAGCATGATCATCCAAGAAAAAACTATACATTTAGTGGCGCGATGTAAATTTAAGCTTCCCTTCTGGGTCTGTTGCGAGGGGGTGGCAGGGCAGGTTCTTCTTGCACAAAAGTTTCTATAATATCCTTAGTCATCGTTGTCGTCGTCCTCGTCATCTTCATCGTCATCCCTATCATCAACTTCCATGGTAGCTTCATTCTTTGCCAGCTGGTATTTGCAAAATGTCAAAAAATAAGGGAAAAATAACACTTATTTTTATGAAATCAATTTCCTCATTAACAACAATAATAACCAATTCAGCATATTATTTATCAAAACAGAGAATAACTGACAACTATAGTTAAAAGGGATCAGTTAAGAGACTTTAATTCTACATATGATTGGCCCGTGTAGAGGCACAAGTAGATTTCATATACTTTATAGGACATGTAAATAGAATCACATACCCTCTATGCATGTTGTCTACTGACTCAAGTGTTTCAGAAGAGTGGAATTATTGGAAGAAAATTATTGATTCTGTTCTTTATAGAAATGGAAGATCAATTTTGCAGAATTTCTGATTCAAAGATTCAGTAGTTTGATCTTGTTAAGTCTTGAATTGGGATCAAGACAAAATAAGACCTATTAAGGAGCTCATAGATGCTATAACAAAACTATGTAAGACGCTATCCCAAATGTGAGAAATATCCATCTCTTTCTTTCCTTTTTTAATCCTCATGTTGTCACAAGACTCATTATAACGGATAAAAGACTCTTTGGAAGTACCACACTGAGATATGTTAACAAAGTTTATTAAAAGAAATATGTTAAAAAATTACATTATTAACATTTTTTAGTTTATTACTATAAGAAATTCTTTATATAAAATAAATTTTTTCTTAAATTATAAATATCTTATGTCTTCAAATTTAAAAGCACGTCCGGAATTTCTTCAAACATGTAGAAGACATGTTAGAAGTTTCAACAACGAAAAAGCTTCACATTACCGAGAAGAGGCAATTATCATCAAGAAAGAGGGTTAAACGGTGTTACCTCCTCGAGCCATTGTTGGTCGAGCTTATCGGCCATTCGAACGGAGGCTAAAACGGTAACAGCGTGGAGAGAGAGTGGGAGCGCGATTGAAAACACTATGCTGGTCGTGCTTGTATCAGTACTTGTTCAACTCAGTTTTATGCAAGATTTACAATAATAAATGAGAGTAATTATAAAACTAATATCATATCTTATATTTTTCAAAATTGTGAAATTTGTATTCTTTGAATTTAATTGGAATGTACTCACAATCATTTAATCGTAATTTTTAGTATAATTAAATTTTATTAACTTCTATAATTTACATAAAAGGTCATCTTTGCCATATTTTGTAATAAATTGATAATATAATTTTTTTACACTTATAATATATTAAAATTAAATTTATAATTTTTTAGATCTAATCCACAATTGAAAGTTTGGGTCCAAACTTAAGTACACTAAATCAATTTAATGAGTAATGACACTTATAATCTAATACACCTAATGAATTTTTTTTTTGCGAGTATTATCAAATTTAAATAAATAATTTAAAAATATTAAATAGATATTTAAATATTTAACATATCTTATAATATTTTAAATACATTATAGTTATTAATCATAAATGCTGTATTATATTAAATAAAAAGATTACGAGACTAAATAATAAATTATTTAAAATTGAAATCAATGTTATGTTAGTAAATAAATGCTTAACAATTTGAAATGATGGAAAAAAAATCTTAAAAACATCTTTATTTAAAAATTTTCCAAAATATTCTCATCAATTAAAGAATTTGTATTCACAAATTATGTATAAATATCAATAAATAAAAAATAAGCAAATTTTTAAATTAAAATTTATGAAAAAAAGCATATACAGATGTGTTTGTTTTTATATATTCAAATTTTTTATATTTAATTATATAAAATACATATGTTTTTAATCATTTTCATATTATAAAAATTTAAGTTACTAAATTATAAAAATTAAAAGGCTAAACGAAAAAAAATATAAAATAAATACAAATTACTAAAAGAAATACATAAAAATCATACAACAACTTTTATATTGACATTTATATTATGAATAAGTAAACATATACAATGAAACTAAAATTAAATTTTTTTAACATGTTGAATAACATTTAATAAGAATTTGAATTAATTTTTTAAAAATTGAAGAAAAGCATAAAGTAAAAAAAAATGAAAATTTATCTGCCCTTGAATTAAAATGTTTAGTAAATAGATTAACTTTAAATAACGGTGGATAAATTTTTATTTCTCTGTCCACTCTTTTTTTTTTTTACTTATTTTCATTTTATGGAAGTTAAACTAAAAAATACATACATAGTATTAATTTTTTTTATTAAAAAAATCATATAACTTAATATATTAATAATATTAAATGCTATAAATTTTAATAAAATTTTATTATTTATTAATATTTCTCTCAAACATGTTATAAAAATTTATAATATGTTGCACAACACATGAATATGAACATTAATATTTCTAAAAAGACAAGAAAAACAAAGTTTATGCATGGTATTGACTTGAAAAATTAAATTCTTTTATGCTATATTTATCTATTGAATGAGTAATGTAGTGATTAAAAAGATAAGTATACACTATGCTTAGAAGATTAAGGGTATGATAAGGCTGTGAGTGTTTAAGTTAACGGATAGGAATATCTTTATGTAGGATATTGGATATCGGCAACGTTGAAGTAAAAGCCGAAAAATATAATGCAAAAAATGAACCAAAAAAACTGTGGGAAAAAGGAGTAAATGGGGATTTCACAAACTGTGCAAAATGGGAACGAAAATCTCACTGGACAGCGACACCGTACGACGACCCATGGGTTCCTCTCCGTGAACACCCAAACCCAAACATTAACCTTAACCAAACAAACCCTAATTTTCGATCTCTCCCTAATTCTTTGTACCCTTCTCATCCATTCCTAAATAAAATCAAGATCAAAATTTAGCTACAATTCTCAAATAAATTTCCCCGATTAACCCTCGTGTTTCGCTGAATTCTATTTCTCTTTCAATTTTTTCTCAGTATTTAGCTGTCGCTTCTTTGTTATTTTCGTCATCCCGGCAGATCAGGTTTTGATTTTGCTTCTGTTCCAGCTTTGGAGGATCCACAGTCTCTCTTTGAGTGGTAATTTGAAAATTTTTCAACTCTATTTGCCATGAATTATATTGAATTATTCATATGCTAGCTTGTTGAGATGTATGAATTTCACTTTGCAACCTGGATTTTCTAAGCTCTGATTATTATTGCTATGTCAATTTTGGTAGAGATTCATGTCGTAGTGTTATTATAGAGGTGAGCGGAACTTGTGAGTGCTATCTTGGGTTTGGAGATAATGTAGGGCAACATCTAAGGGTTGGATTTTGGCATGGTTTACATTGATTGGGAGGGAAAAGGGGGTAATGTATTAGTTCACTGTTGACAGGACAGCCAATACAGGTGATATAAAGGTTGTAACTTTGTGGATTAATTCAACACAGGGGCATATGGTTCAAGTGTTTTGTTTAACATGCTTACTTTACAATGATGGAAATTGATTGAGTTTTGATGGAGAATGGTGTCTCTTAAGCTATCTTGTAACGTAAGTTACGTTTGGTGCAGAATGGTTTACTTTATTCTTGTAAGATACTGATATAAAGGTATGGGCAGCAGTGAGATGGATAAAACCCCAAAAGAGAAGGAGTCAAAGACGCCGCCACCTACATCACAGGTCTAACTGGGTTTCTTTTATTTTATCTATATTGATAGTTAATGGTAGGTAGTTCTTGTTTGATGCCGAAAGCATTTGTTGTTTCTCCAGGAGCAATCTTCAACCACCAGCACTGGAGCAATCAATCCTGACTGGTCCGGCTTTCAGGTTTTGAATGAAAAAAAGTCTTTGTTAGTTTATCATCTTTATTATTGTCAAGATTGGATTTTAATTTCTCCAGCTTTCTTGATAGGCATATTCTCCTATACCTCCGCATGGGTTTTTGGCATCAAGTCCCCAAGCTCACCCTTATATGTGGGGTGTCCAGGTATTTGCCTCTTATATTTTTAATGCCCAATCTCTTGTACATTATACTGTTTAATGTTTTAACCCTGTGCTTTTGCTTAGTCAAATATAACAAAACAAATCATGGAAAATAATGAAATATGAAAACAAATCCTAAGATATGTTAAATTATCCCTTAGTCCATACAATGATGGTATTGTGAACTATATTCTTGATATTCTAACACTCCCCATCAAGCTAAAACTTGCAAAGTTGTAAGCTTGTTACAAATGAATGCTGTAAAATGAAAAAAGAAAGGACGGTGGAGATGAGACATTGGAGAGATAAGTATTGCTTGAAAGATAACTTAGCAAGATGGCTGGAATGATGGGCAGAAACAGCAACTTAAATGTTAGGCAATGGCAATGGTGGTGATGGGGGCCAGAATGATGGTTGTGGGATATCAATTGAACACTGGTAATGGCACCCGTGATGGTGACTGTATTAGCATTCTTTGTTGATGCTGATAGTTATAAAGGTGGAGCATTGTTCATAGCAATGGTGGTGGGGGTTGGTAGCATTTGAAATCATTGTTTGGTAAAATTTATAGTAATTTGTGACTTTCTTATCATTAGGGGCAGTTTTTCTTGGGAAATACTTGCCTCTCAAATGTGCATATATTATGATTAATGATGATTCTGTGCATATATTATGATTAATGATGATTCTAATTCCTTGCATGCTTTAGGTGTAATTATTGTATCAGGAAGCTGTATGTGTGAAAAAGGACAGGCTTGAAATTGCTAACTAGGAGCAGAAAATTATTCTTACCTTTGCTAATGAATTCTATAGATTTTGGCCCTTGATTGTTGAACTTGAATGGTCTTCTTTGGTTATCATTATTTGTTCTTTCTATCGTTCTCTACCATGTCTACTACTAGTTTATACTTCACTAACAATATGAAATATCTTGTTCAAATTCTGTCTCATTCTTCCTTTGGTTCATTAATGAAATTTTTATTTGCAGCATATTATGCCTCCCTATGGTACTCCACCACATCCCTATGTTGCAATGTATCCCCATGGCGGCATATATGCTCATCCATCCATGCCTCCGGTATTCTTTGCAAACTATGCTTTTTTGAAGTTATCATGTCGTTGAAATCACTAATTCACCCACCACTGTTTGCCAATTGCCTCAAATTTATACAGGGATCTTATCCTTTTAGTCCTTTTGCCATGCCTTCTCCAAATGGCATTGCTGAGGCTTCAGTGAGTTTTTCCCTCTCTGCACTTTTGTGCTTTCTCTGTTTTTCTTTGTCTATCTTTTCCCCCTTCCCTGCATGACCCAAGTAAGGAAACATAACCCATGAGTTCATGTGCAGGGAAATACTCCTGGCAGCATGGAAGCTGATGGTAAGCCTCCTGAGGTGAAGGAAAAATTGCCAATCAAAAGATCAAAAGGAAGTTTGGGTAGTTTGAATATGATCACCGGGAAAACTAATGAACATGGTAAAACACCAGGGACATCTGCTAATGGAATTCATTCAAAAAGGTGAGATATATTGTGTTGATTATTGAATCATTTTCCCTCTTATTTGTATCAAAGAACTCCTGCTTGGCCTAAGAAAGACACACTTCGCTCCCAAATGTCCTGCAGCCTGCTAATTGCCAAATTGTGAATTCTATGCTACATGAGATGTATAATGCATCCACTCTTTTTGACATGGTGTTAGTATTTTTCTATGACATGTCACCGGTCACTATCATTGGTCATTGTTTCTCTAGCTAGGGAATGATCTAACTAATATGTATTTGGAGGGCTAAATTATGTACCTAATAGAACTTAGTGTGACATGTCCAGGAGTGTACTCTTGGCTTCCAAACTGGATGAGTGAATATGAGCCACTACTCAGTAATCAGTATACTGTCTTTGTATTATTTGTATCATCTGTATCCATATCTTTATATTAATAAAATCTGTGGTCATACTTTTGTGGTATTCCAGAACATGGAAACAAAGCTAGAAAATTATTTTACTTTGTTCAAACAAAGCAACTCCATATAGGTCACTTTGACCAGTGATTTTGTTGCAGCCTTTCAGACCCTAGTATTATCTGAACCACAATGATAAAATATAAATGGCTTAGGGATTCAGAATAGCATATACTGTTGAGTTGGGAGTAAAAGCACTAGCCACTTCCTGAAGTTTATGTTTCCATCATTAGTGTCCTTTCAAATTTTTAGTCTGATGAAGTGAAAGCTCTCTTTTACAATTAAGTTGGACTTCTTTTGTTGGATATTTTAATGTTTAGATTGCAGAAATTGCATTTAATATTTATCTTCAAATGTCTGAGGATCCCTATGCAATTACTTGGTATATGTATATTTTTTAATTTATTATCTGTAGCTATATTTTCCTTTCAACAACTGAAAATATAATTTTAGGTTTGAAAAATGATTTATTTTTCCAAGCCTGTTGAGTATGTTGGCTTGCCTTTTGTGATTGCATACTGGTGACTTACGCTGATAGGAAATCTTGGATTTACAGTGGTGAAAGTGCAAGTGAGGGTACTAGCGAAGGAAGTGATGCTAATTCTCAGAATGTAAGTTCAGGGACAGTTGTCAGTTTTCCACTATGTTGTCAATATGTGCCCATTAACACTTATTTGCAGTAATTATATATTTTAAGGAGTATAATATATGTAAAAAAAAAGAGGTAAAAAGAATATTTTTTCATAGCAAAGTTTGAAATTATGTAAGAATTAAAACTGGAGAGAATGGTGTCGTGCTTTCAATACCACCAAAACATAATTCCTATAGGATTGTTATCCTGATAGAAGAATTTAATCACGTTATTCTAAAAACTAAGAACTGTAATTTACCCAGTATAGATGATGTTATAGAGGGCCTTAAACGATTAACAACTTTTGAAATTCTTTGTCTATGCTTTTAAAAGCTAGGAAATTATAAGTAAGCATTGAATTGCAATTTGCAAGTCTCAAGATGAAAAGAGCTTATGTAATTTATAAAATCAGCATAAAGTATTTAGAAGCTTAGTACAAGTTTTTGGTCACAAAATATCATGAAGTACTAATGGATTTCAATCTTGTTATTTCCTGACACCTATTGTAGGTTTAGTATGTAAAAAATTTATAAATGTCAATAATGTTTAAGCACTAGATGTTGGGTGAAGAATATGACATGGTACTGGGGTACATAGCTCATGCTGCTTATGTTTATTGGACATTCAACTGACTATCTTCCGAATGATGCCATAAATACTTTATTTGTGTTTTTTGCTCTTCAACTGTTTGGTTATTATCATTGTGATAGTTATTTGTTTCTCGGTTTTTTATAGGACTCCCAATTGAAATCAGGGGGCAGGCAGGATTCTTTTGAAGGTTTGGCATGCTTACTTTGTGTTGTTTCAATATAAGTTCTAACTTTCTTTTGTGTAGGGCTATATGTAAACCCATAATGTTTCTGTTGTGCTGAAATGTACCTTTTTTCTATTGAATTACAGATGAACCATCTCAAAATGGCAGTTCTGCACATACTCCTCAAAATGGGGGACTAAATACATCTCATTCAGTGGTCAATCAAACTATGTCTATCATACCTATCTCTGCAGGTGGTGCTCCTGGAGCTGTTCCTGGTCCCACAACAAACTTAAACATAGGAATGGATTATTGGGGTACACCAACTTCATCAAACATTCCTGCACTGCGTGGAAAGGTTCCATCTACTGCAGTTGCTGGAGGGATGGTTACTACTGGATCACGTGATAGTGTTCAGTCACAACTCTGGCTACAGGTTACTCTTGACAACGTACTGATGATATGATGCATATTTCCTTGATAACATATTATGGCTGTTCAATGTGAAAAAAATAAGGTCTACCTTTTAGTGCATAATGAGATTTTATAGCTTTTAGTGCATGCTGGAGGTTTGTAGACTTCACAATACATTTTGAAAACGATCACTATTTGCAAAAAAAATACTAAAAGGAGATGGAGTTGTGAAATAAAATAGGATTCTAAGTTGTAGGGTGAAAAAATAGTTGGAAAAGTTAAAGTTTGTAACTGGCATGCTTTATGTGATCGTTAATATTAAGGTTGATATGGGCATGTGAGTACATTGACAATAGTTATTCAAAGTTAGTACTGAATTTTAAGTCTTGACATGTTTGGCAACCTGGTGATCAACTTTCAAACTATGAATCTTGTCAGCGAATTAACCAAATGCCCTCTGCGTATTTCTTCATTAAGATATCTCTTGGTTTTATGTATATGTATTCATTTGATTATACACATCAGTACTTGGGGGTTAATCTGCTGCAGACTATTTAGACTTTGGTGGGTACAAACTTTGCCTCATAAAGGTTGTTTTCTCCTAACCACCACCCTTAGCTTGAGGGTTAGTCTCGCAGGCCTGAGGGGATACCTAGTCAAAGAAAAAAGGTGGTTTTCTTTTAGTGAGTATATCTATGTTGTTGTGATACTTGCTGAAAGCATTGTTCCGTTGGAATGGTTACTTATTAAATCTCTAGCAAAGCCAATTTACTGATTGCTTGTTGGATTTCTTAATCTGCTATAGATTACTGATTCTTCAGTAGATGCTAAGTTTGACTCAGCCAATGGGCTTACCTAACTGTTTTACACGAGTATGTTGCACCTTCTTAATTTGCCAAGAAAGGAACTGAAAAATAAGTAGTAAAAGGCTGTTAGTTTTTGTGTGTTTGAGGGGAGGGGATGCATGTGTGAAGTTACGTTGGATATTTAGTGTTGGCAGCAGTTCCATAACCGGGGCATAAAGCCTTCTTAAGAATTGATAGGCATATTAGAATTGATCTTTCCCTTCTGGAGGAGAAGCTTTGTTGTAGCACCAATGCCTGATTGGCATCTTCACCCAGGTGTTTGCGGATTATATAATTATTTCATTTTGTTCCTCCAGCTTCTTCATTCATTTTTGTTTTTTTATTCTTGTGCTTGCCTCATTGTTTGATTAAGTTATATTGTTCCCGATCAGAATTATTTTACATTTAGTTTCTTTCCAAGTAAATTTTTTGTTCCCTTTTTCAGATAGGGAGTTTATAACTACCCATTGCCTTTTTTGACATTTTCACCTGGGGAACACACATTTCTGATTGACCTTAATTAAAAATTTGCAATACTGCTCTTAATTCTTGTCTGAGGCCTGATTTTAAAGTTGTATCTCGGATTATCAGTCTCCTCACACCTCTTGTTTTAATATACATATTTTTTGGTTAACTTTTAGGATGAAAGAGAGCTAAAAAGGCAAAGGCGGAAGCAGTCTAACAGGGAATCTGCCCGCAGATCCAGGTTGCGTAAGCAGGTGATGGAGTACCCTATAGCAATTTCCTTATGATTGGTTGATCATAATTATCACATATCTAACTCCTGTTTGATTATTATTTTTTTAATTTCTTTTCCTTTTTTCAGGCTGAGTGTGATGAGCTAGCTCAGCGTGCCGAGATTTTGAAAGAAGAAAATGCTTCTCTCCGGTCAGAAGTAAGTCGAATCAGGAGTGAGTATGAGCAGTTACTCTCTGAGAATGCAGCTCTTAAGGTGATGCACATTTGAATTGTTGATTCAGCAAAAGTTATCCATAGACCTAGATGAACTGAGTTATAACTAAATAATGTACTGTTGGTTTGAGAAAATGTTTTTTATTTATTTTTTCACTTTTAATTACAAAAATGTTGCTTTATTTTTATTTTGTTTCCTATTTTCAAATATTTGTATAAGAAACAGTGAAAACAACCTATTATTATTTTCATTGTTTGACTATTTCCTATACAAATATTTGAAAAACAGAAATATAGTGAAAATAATGTGGGATTATTGTAATTAAAAGTGAAAATAGAAAATATTTTTTAAAAAACTAAACGAGCCTAACCTACTCTACTCTGCTAGAATCCCTTAATATCTGAAAGATTATGGGAAGACTGAGCATACTGTTTAATAAATGCAGGAGAGACTTGGGGAACAACCTGGGAATGATGGTCTTAGGTCTAGCACTAATGATCAGCATGTGGGTAATGACACTCAACAGAGTGGGCTGACAGAGGCTGTGCAGGGTGGTCATTAGCATTACTTACCACTGAATGCTGCATTTCAGGGAGATAACCTAACTTAATAGCAAGAGCAACATCTTGTTCCGGATAGTTTCTAGTTCAAGTTGTATTAAAGCTGACCATTTAGTCTTAAGAGATGTTTATGCTCTATGATCCTTCATTCCTAATTTGCCTTTTTTTAACTCATTCAAATCAACCTGGATTGTATGTAGTGTGTGAATTCTGTGTCGTGTGCAGCTTCAAAGTTAGTGTTCGCATTGAGCAATATAGTTTAATGAACCAGGGTGTTGTCCATTACATGGTTTCCTGTATAAATAATTTATCGTGAAAATAAAGAAAAAAAAGGAATATTTATGAATTCTGTTTCATGGCAAGCCTGCTATCTAGTTGAAACGTAGCCTTACATGCAATACGTGTGCCCAGTTAAAGCATTTTTTGGTCTTGTGCTTGGTTAAAACTCAGCCTTTTATCTACGGTTGCTTATGAAATTTTCGTCTGTTGCTTGCACAGACAACTCAAAGCAAACAGAATAGACGCGCTGTGGGTAGAGATGAAAACAGGTCGGGTTAGGTTAGACTTTACTCTAAATAGGCCTGGCCTGTTACATAATTATTAGGCCTGAGCTTGACTTGTTACCTGTTAAAAGCTTTATTTTAAACTTGGCCTAACCTGTTTAAGTGGTCTGACCTGACCTGAAGTCTGTTAAAAAAATATATATTAATAAAAATATAAATATTTTATTATCAAATTAGTTTATATATTTTTTTTTAATTTCTATCTATGTTATTAATAATTATTAAATAATTATAATAATATTAATATAATTTTATAAATAATTTTTAAAATATTATTTAAGTATTAATTATAAATATTTTATATTAATAAAATCTATATTTATATTTTTCTCGATTTATTTTTTAAAAATTATATAAATAGTAAATATTTTAGTTTTATTTTAGAAACATTTTATTTGTTTAAAGATATCTTATATTCAACAAATAAAGTTACAGTAAATATATAAAATTGATAAAAAAAAAATAACATTCACACAATTTCTTGAATTAATTAAAAGAAAATTACTATATTTTAAAAAATAAATAAAAATAACTTAATATAATATATATATATATATATATATAACGACAATAATAATAACTATTAAATTAAAAAAATAATTACAAAATGTTTAATTTTATTTGTTTCACTAATTTGTTATTTTAAATTAATAAATAAACATAAAATTAACTACATTATAACATTAATATAATAAAGAAAATATTACTGATACAATAAATTAAAACATATATTTATATATTACATATAAATTGATAAATTAACTAATAATTTAATTAAAATACGTGCAAGTTACAAAAATATATATTATTATATAATTTATTTATAATTATATTATTTATATTATTTGTTACATGGACTGATTACATATATATATATATATATATATATATTATAATAAATTTTTTATTTTATTTTCTTATCATTTTTTATAAATTTTTTCTTTCAAAAAAAATATAATTTATATTTAAGCAATTTTTATTCATTATAAATATAAAAAATTATAACATAATATATTAATATAATAATTAAATATTAATAATAATAAAATTAAAAATATAAAAATTTATTAAAAGAATATTAATATTTTATTTTTAAATTTTAATTCATTTAGTTTTGATCGTGTCTTATTCTTCTTCAGCTTGTTTAAATATAACAAATATAATAATTTATAATTAAATAAATTTATTTTTTAAACACTTGTAATCGTGTATAAATATTTTTAGTTTTGAATATAATATAATTTTTATTTATTATAAATAAAAAATTATAATATAATATATTAATATAATAATTAAATGTTAATAATAATAAAATTAAGAATATAATAAATAAATTAATATAATATTATTTTTTTATTTTTAAATATTAGTTTCTTTAATTTTGATTGCGTTCTAATCTTATTTGAAGACTTTGCTGCTTTTCAACTTGTTCAAATAAATATAATAATTTACTTTATATTTATATTGAAAGTAACTATAAATAATAATAAAAAAAATAAAAAGTAAACACCAATCAATTAAATTAAATAAATATACATTTAATTCAAAGTAACTATATATAATGACAACAATAATAACTATTAAATTAAAAAAAATAATTATAAAATATTTAATTTTTTTATTAATTTGTTATTTTAAATTAATAAATAAACGTAAAATTAATTACATTATAACATTAATGTAATATAGAAATTATTAGTTTATTACTAATACAATAAATTAAAACACATACTTATATATTACATATAAATTGATAAATTAACTAATAATTTAATTAAAACATATGCAAGTTACAAAAATATATATTATTATATAATTTATTTATAATTATATTATTTATATTATTTACTACATGGTCTGATTATATATATATATATATATATATATATTATAATAAATTTTTTATTTTATTTTGTTATTATTTTTTTATAAATTTTTACTTTTAAATAAAATATAATTTAAATTTAAACAATTTCTATTTATTATAAATAAAAAAATTATAACATAATATATTAATATAATAATTAAATTAATAATAATAAAATTAAAAGTATAAAAAATATGTTAATATTATTTTATTATTTTATTTTTAAATTTTATTTCGTTTAGTTTTGACTACATCTTCTTCATGTTTAAAAACTTAACTATTTTTTAAATTGTTTAAATATAATAAATGTAATAATTTATTATTTAAAAAGTGTAATCATGTATAAATATTTTTAATTTTTAATAGAATATAATTTCTGTTTATTATAATTATAAATAAATAAAATTATAACATAATATATTAATTTAATAATAACAGAATTAAGAATATAAAAAATATATTATTAAATAACTTAATTATTTTAATATATTTTGACAGTTCTATTTTTAAATTATATAATATATAATATATATATATATATATATATATATTTTTTTTTTTTTATACAGGCTGGCCTGTCAGGCTTAACAAGCTTTATAAACAGCTCAGGCCAGGCCTAAACCAGGTTAGGCCACAGACCCGCGGCCTGACTTGTTTTTATCCCTAGCTGTGGGTGCAGTAAAAAGCAAAAAGAGGTGAGCAAAAACAAAACTTGTAAGCCCATTTTTAAGAGTAGCATGGTCAAAGTCGATAATCGCTTAATAAACAAAAATGAGGTGTCATAATAAAATTTACATCAAAATATTAAATAAGGTTTATACAATTCAAATGAACTGCACGAATATAAATGGGGATCGGATCAATATAATGGGGTTTTTTTTTCAGTCAATGTCAGATTTGTAGAATTTTCCTAATCCTATGTTTGGGAGTTAGGTTTAGGAGGAGAGAAGGGAGAAAAAGGGTTAGAAGGAGTTTAATTTTGTTTAGAAATTGCTTAATTAGGAGGAAAAAGTTTTGAGAGGTTTTTCTAAACCTTCTAAAATTTTTAAAAGCTTATCTTTTGAGTTTTCTTATTTTGAAAAATTTTCTCTCTCTTATTCCTTCATACTATTTCACAAATAAAATTATAATTTTTTTTATAAAAAAAAGTTAATTTTTTAAGTAATAATTTTTTAAAAAAATATTAATTTTAAAATTACTTATATAATTAAATTATTTCTATCACGCTCCTTTCTTAATATTAAACTTTAAAACAAGAAAAAAATTTAACCTTCTTTTTCTCTTTCTTCCTTCAAACCCTGCTCTTCTAAACTCAAACAAAATCCATTTACTCTAAATGAATGGGTATTAGGTCTTCAGCTATTTTAGTGGATAGTGAACACTGATTGGGTTGAGTTTTTTTTATGGGTTGAAAAGTTAGTTGGGCTTGTAAGCATGACGTTAATGAATACATCAAGACAAGACATGCATTGATTATGAATTTAAATTGTTGCTAGTAATATTTTTACTTCCGTGCTTTATGGCTCTATCTATTTATTATAATTTTGTCAATTCTTATTTCTTATTATAGTTCTTTTAAATCAGTTTGTATATTTTATTATCTGATTATTGATTTTAATTACATTCTTATTATTTAAGTTTGTGTTTAACATGTCCATCTCATCCATTTGTAGTTGTAAACATTTGAAAAATTAGACACTAAAAGGTTTGACTTTCAAAGGCAGATTAGATTAAATGGCCTGACTGAAATTGGGCCAAGTGAAGGCTCAAAAATGCTAAGCAAGGATTAAATGCGGGTCAATTTAGGTGTAATATATTAGGTTTTAAGGGGTTGGTTTGATCGGATACGAATTGTAATTTTCTTAATTAATTATACCTATTTCAACCAAAAAAACAAAAAACTTTTCTATACCTATTTTCATTAAGACACAACTAAACTGGTCCAACTAGTAGCTCAACCTAACCAATCCTTAATCAAGAAAGAAAAGATGAAATCTTAATTTCGTTTTTGCACTGTTATAGTTCCCATAGACTCCTCTTCTTTCCTGATTATAATTAGAGAAAGATAACAAAGACGAGACCAAAAGGATCATGGTCGTAATAAGATATTTGTGTTAACTGATTATTGTTGTTCTTGCCATGCAGGCATCCTTGATTGTATGTGCTTTCTTTTAAAAACACTTTCCCTATTGAACAACCACCATCGAACATCTTTCCCAATTTTCGGAAGAAGGTTAGCTGAAGAGATTTTGCAAAAGACGAGCATAATAAGAGGAACAAAGTTTGTGAATAAGAGACCAAAATTTGAAGCAAGTCAATATCAAAAGTTATAAATTGTTCAAACTTGCCTGATCACCCTGTAAGTACTCAAACTGACACCTGAGTTATCTGATGGCTTGAAATTGAAATCGACCTAAATATTAGGATAGTCAATTTGTTTTAATTATCTATGTCGACGAGATTTAAGAAGAACAACTTTTTTTTTTCATGTATTGTTACATTTTTTTTTTCTAAATTATATATATTGTTTATTAGAGGTAATTTTGTTTAAATTGAATAAGAGTATTAAAGACAGCAAAGCTCTCATTCTATGTATTTAATACATATATATTTAATAAAAATTAAACTCAAGACCACATATTAAGTTATAACAAATTTTGTTGGTTGATTTATGTGTTTGTTAATATATTGTTAAATTTATATATGAACATGAATTTACATTTAAAAAAATAATATTATTTCAACTAATTATTTATAGTATGAACCATGTTGTGCTTTATGAAGAACCATTTAATAGTTTGAACATATTTTGTTTAAAGCATGTTTAAGGCTTTAAGGAATATATTAAAATTATAATATTGTTTATTATTAATATATAAGATATATATGTAAAAAATAATTATACTATTGATAAATTCATATTTTACTATTTTTTTTAATATAGTTTTGTTAATAAATAAGTAGTAAAGTGGTAAGTAAACTTGAAAATATCATAAAAATTACATAAATATTCATAATTGTGTAAATAGTTTAGAATTTTAGATTTTATTTTAATTCTGAACAATTTACTTAAAAAAACTTAATTTTTGTGCAGAAGCTTGAGCTGGGAATTTGAAGTTGATATTAAAATGAAAAAAGTAAAAGAATTGAACCTAAAAGAACAAGAAACAGATGATAAGTGGTGAAAGTGAACACTCTAGCAGCAAAAATTCTGAAGAACCTTGTGCGTGTCCATTCTATGTGTTGAGAGTAATTACATGTGAGGCTTTTCCATACAGAACACTTATGCGTGGACACTCTTACCACTTAAAGTGTGCACGCAAAATAACAAAATTTTAAAAATTACTTCTAAGTGTCGACTTTAGATGATTTGAGTTCCTATTTCAATTGTAGAAGCTTCTAGAAGACTTTTCATGCTATAATCCTCAAAGATCAAAGTGCGAAAATAGAAGTTAGAAGTTCAGATTGGAGAACTTTTATTCATTTTTTGTTATTTTTCACTTTGTAACGGTTTTAACTTCCAAGAGAAGTCAGAGAGAGAGAGATTAGGAGCAACTTTCAAGCTTCATTGCTAGAGGAATCAAGGTAAAGATTAGGTCTTAGAAGATGCTCTTCTGCTCCTTGTCTTCTTCTTCTCTTACTTCTCCTTCTTATATTGTAATGTTGTTTTAAACCTTTTGGTTAAAGATCTATGGATCCAGATTTGATATTGTGATGTAGTTTTGGATCTGAATCTTGAGATTTTAATTGAATTGAGTATATAATTCTGTTCTTAATACAGTTGTGAACTAATCCTTCATTCAATTGAACTTAGAGGAATCTTCATCAATGAAAATTGAGTTTATTTCTCATATCTGAATTATATGCTTAAGTTATTGATATTTTAGGAATAAGTATCACGATCTAATAATCCTATAATTTCTAGAACTTAATGTAGTATTTAATTGAATTTCACCTAAGAAATTAGGAAGGTTTAATTAAATATTAGGATCAATAAAGCAAGGAATTATCCTTTAGTTAAAAAGGTAAAATTGATTATCAATCAATTAAAATTCTCAAGAGTCCAGAACATGATTATATTGCAATTGAAAATTTGGTGAAGTGATTCCTAAGTATTTTTCACATAGCATTTTCAATTTAAAGTTTGTATTTTGTTTTACAACAATTTATTACCTTTTATTGTTCTTAATTTTCATTTTTTTACATGTTACAAATCTTCCAAATGAATTATATGGTTCAACTAATTGTCAATTTGTGAAGTGGTAATTGAAAATAAAATTCTTGTGGACGATACTTGAGACTCATTGATTTCTAAAATTTTATTACTTACTATAATTATCTAGTACATTTGCTAGTTAGTAATTTTATGCAAAGAATATTGCTGTATTCTATTTTTACGTAACAACTATCTTTATTCTTATTTATCTATCTAAAAGAAAAGAAATTGCACATATAAAATTTTTAATTATTTCATTAGAATCAATTGCTAAACTCATTGATTTACCTTTATTAATGAATTTTTTTTTTTACTTTTTAACATTGTATAAATATTTTATATAGACAAAAAAAGTATCAGTAAAAGAATAAGAATTAATATTATTTTAAATTTCTATATAGATAGATAAATAGAAATACTTTTTTTTCTCTAGACAAATATATCAAAAACAAATAATATTTGATATATTCTAGAATAAAATATGGTTGATGATATTGTAGAGGTTATTCTGAAGGTACAAAAAAGATTTTATGTATATTTTATTGTAGTTAAGTATATGATATTAGTTTGTTTTTAATTTTTTAACTTAAAATTTACTTTTAAAAATATTATCTCTTAAATTTACGGTTATTAATATATATTAATTATTGACGTTTAATTAAAAACACTATAAAATAAAAAATTATTTTAAAATAAATTATATTTTATTTAATAATATTAAAAAATGCTGCAAATATATTCAATAAAGTTTTATTTTAGTTGAATTAATCTTTAAAATTTTATAAATTTAAAATAATATAATTGAAATTGTTAACTTGGATTTTTTTTTACAAAATTTGTTTGAAATATAAAATATAATTACATAGTATAATTATATATAAAATTACATATATAATCTATTTTAAACATTTATCCATTTTGAAACTAAGAACTTAATGCTCAACGTCCTAGACTCTGTCTTACTTCTGCTTCTTTTGAATGTGTTAACTCGCTATTTGATCAATCAACCTTTGAGCAAGTTCGCTCTTTAGAGCTTAGTCCTCCCTTTCATGAAAAGAAACTAAAAATATATTAAAATGAATATTGAAGCACATAACTCATAAATCTAATGTAAGTAAATAGTAGTATTTTTTTTATAGTGCCACCAAGGTATTCCTTTTTTTTTTTTAATAATTAATTTATTAAGATATTTTGTTCCTTTAAATGTATAGTTTGTTTTAAAATTAAACTATTTTGTAGGAGTCAAGTCTACTGGCTAATGAAAACTAAGAAAACGTAAAAAGATAAAAGAAGCTAAATCACTTAGAATACACAAATTAACTGGTCAAACGCCAAAAGAAGTCACATCAATGCATCAATATTCACAAACAAGAACGATATAGTGACATTTCTTATTCTTATACAATTTCAACGCCACATTTTTATGGGAACAAAAGGAGAGAAACTTACGTTTCTTATATATATACACTAAAATGTGAGATTTAAAAAAAAAGTTATAAAAATATAGGAATTCAAAATGATACAGATGCCTTAACTGAAAATTTTTAAAAATACTAAAAATTATATAAAAAATATATAAATTTAAGTAACAAAAATATTCTTTTTTATAGTTTTATATAATTTTTAAATATAATAATTTAGTATTTAATAATACTTTTCCCAGATTACTTGAGTTTCTCCTGATCTCCCTCTTTGTACCAAAAAGGTAAAGTGTGGAAATAATATAAAAACGAAGGAGTGTCAAGTGAAGGAAACATTGTTCATAAACAAATTCTACACTACGAGCAAATATAAGCTGATGAATAAAATTTACAAAAATAGCGGAAAAATCTTTTGGTGTGCCATGGAGGAAGCACTTTATTGGTCTTCTTTTCTTAAACCAGGAATGGGATTATCATGGCATGTAGCGACGAATCCTGAATCCAGCGTGCGTGCATCCATGCCATTGACCATCATCATCGATCTTCCCGGCTCCTTCAGAAAACCTGAACAGCGAACACGAGACAATGTAATATTGCAGAATAAAAACCGAACACAAACCCATAACCAGAACTACAACACGAAATGAGATAAATGATGTATCAAATGAAATTAAAGTGGCGTATCGTAAGTAAGGAGAGTTCAATAACAATATTGAAGAGGTTGATATCAATCATAAGTTCACATACCTGACAAGAACAAGCTGGGCTTGAAAAATTTACTTCACCTGGATGTTTTCTTTGCCAATATGCTTGATTTGTGGCCAATCGTCCCCGGTTTCTGGCTGACACCTTGGCAATAACAAGGCACAGTCCGAAATGATCAAGGAACTTAAATTCTTGAGCTTTTCCATCGCTTTGGGCATCGATTCCAACTTGTTGCACTTAGAAATTTCGAGTTTACGAAGTGAGGTGACATTGCCTATAGTATCCGAAATAGACGTTAAACCGTTACAGTCATGTAGATAGAGTTCCCGCAGAGAGGTAACACTCTCGTCAAATGAAAGAGACTTGAGAATTGGAATTTCTATCAACTCTAGATAGCGTAGGTTTTTCAGATTGATTGAGGCGTCAGGATTGAATTCTGCACAGTTCGCAAAGGTAACACGGTGGAGTGAGGTGAGATTTTGGAAATCAAGGGACAACAACTTCAGATTATTGCAGTTTTGAATGTGAAGTTTCTCAAGGGAATTCAAGTTTTTGAACCACTGGTCTAGCTGGTAGGAATCCCTTACGCCATAAATCAGGAGATACTTCAATTGGGAAAGACCCCCTTGTTGACTCATCGCATCGGCCATCAGTCGTAGGCTGGAATCGACGAGGAAAAGGTCTTTATCAAGAGCACCACAGAGAGGCATGCAAGTTAGGAGAGGGCAGTCAGAGACACATAGCTTTGAGATTTTAGCAAACGAGGGTCTTTCCTTTAGCTCTTTCTCCGTTGGCCACCAATATTTGAGCTTAGGGCAGTCGGAAATTGTAAGTTCCTCCAGGACTGGATAGAAAGATGCAGTGTTATTGTTAGCGTCTTGGGCAATGTATTCCAGATTGTCCAACCTAAGAAGTTCGAGAATCTTGATTTTGGGGAGGTTTTGATTCAGTGGTTCGAGAGATTTGCATCCGGAGTCGCACAAGCTTAGCTTAACGAGATTTAGGGAGGTAGAGAACCAATCAGAAAGCCCCGAACCTTGGTAGCCCACAAGGTTTAGAACTTTTAGTTCAGAATGAGGCTTAAGAGATTGTAGCAGTGTCTTATGGCGTTGTTCCTCTTCCTTTTCCTCTCTCTCATCCTCGGTATCCCATCCTAGGGTGAGGCGCTGAATGCTGCGTTTGCCTTCCAAGAACATGGTTTTCTGGGTTTGTTGGAATTGCGGCACTCGGTTGAGACACAAAATTTCCAAATCCCCTTCCAAATTTGTGAGATCATCGAGGTCCCCAAGGCCTCCCTTGGAATCGTTCTTGGAAGCCACAAAAGCGGACAGGGAGTATAGATTTTTGAGCTCGTTCATTTTGCGAGGCATGTTAGTGAGAGCCAGGCATCCATCCAAGTGCAGGTGTTTGAGGTTAGTAAGATTGTAAATGTCCTTTGGCAATTCTTTGAGGTGGTAACAACAAGACAGTTTCAACGTCTGCAGCTTGGAAAGCTTGGTTATGGAATTAGGGAGCTTGTCCATGTTATTGAGAGAGAGATCCAGATGCAGCAAGTCACCGAGGTCCCCAATGGAGTTGGGCAACTTAACAATCCTCAAGTCACGTATATCCAGCACGCACAGTTTCTTAAAGCTCTTGAATATACTATCAAGAACCGGCGCCGTCATTGCATTCTGCCGCTGAAGCCGCGACTGTGTCTCGGAGATGGAAAGAATGGTCTTGAGCTCTTTTGCCTCTTCTCCGAGAGCTGAAATTCCACGCGAGAAGTCTAAGCTCATGAGATCAAACGAGGCTCGCCGAGGGTTCTTATGAACCTTTTGGCCGTTTGGATCCACGGTGATGTTGTCCCGATCTACGAACCTTGCCACGTCATGCATTAGGGGGTGCAATCTGAAGCTGCTCACTAAACCGAGCTCGTCTTCTTCCACATCTTGCAAAATACCACTCTCGCAGAGTTCCCTCAATCGATTACGACCATCGCCTTCCGTTTTGGCAAACTCTTCCGCCATCCACAGACAAATTAACCTCTTCGCATCAATCAAGCAATCTCGAGGAAACAAGGAAAGATAAGTGAAGCAGGGTTTGTCAAGAAGCTGCTCCTGGTAACACGAGTATGTTACGGTTAGAAAATTCTCTGTCAATTCAGCCAATTGGTCGGATGCACCATGAGAGCTGAGCAGCCTCGCCATTGCTATTATCGCTCGAGGGACGCCTCTGCACTGCCCCGCCATCTTCCTTGTCATGTCGTCTGTGACGCTGGTACCCGCACCCTGTCCACGAATTTCCTGAAGCAAAGTCCGACTTGCCTCTTCGTTAAGTCCCGCCAAGTGATACTGCTTAACAGCAATGTTCCTGCCCACAAGACAGCTCCGTGAGGTTATCATTATAGCCGCAAAAGAGAGACGAGCATCCTTTCTCTGTATACCGCGCTGCAATGCATTCACTTCATTGTCTCCAATCTCAACTCTCAAATCATCCAGAATTAAAAAAATTCTTCCTGTGGGATTGGATTCAACCACCGATTGTTCAATGGATTCAGTGTTAAAGGGGTTGTCAGAGGCACTGACCCAAACCGGGCAGCCAACCTTCTTTCTGATTTCGTCATTCTCGTAAATGTGGCGGGCGAGTTTGCTCTTTCCTATTCCTGCAAGCCCCACAATGGCAATCACAGGGACAGGACGGGCAGGGTGATTATTTTCACCCAGCGAGATGAGTTTATGTATAATTTTCTCCTCTTTCTTTTCTCTCCCAACCAATCTTCCCTGAAATTCACGCTCCGATTCAGTCAAATTTTTCCACCAGTTTAAAATTTTTTCCGTGCGTATAAAGCGTTTGAGGTCCTCTACCACTTTGTTCTTTTTTTCATCGACGCTGAGGTGGTGACTCCCGGAAGACTTGGCTTTGATAGACCACCTCCTCGAGTTATCGCTGGGGGGTGCTTCTTTCAATTTCTCCCAACCAGCAAGCACGTCCCCAAGCTGCTGCTGCAAAATTTCTTTGCCACTGCTGTTCTCTATGGTCCTGGCTATCGCTTCAAGTTCCGCCAGGAGCCCTTGGCTATAGCTTGGGAAATCCTCATTGTACTTTTTCAATACCTTGCTTAACGTTTTTGCAATGGTCTCCCGCTCCCCAGATGAGCTCATTGTTTCAAGAGGATGAGTAATTGATACAAAGGAAAAACTCACACGCTTCAGACTACTCAGGATAGCACCGTAACTGTCCTATCTTATTCCTCTGATCCAAAGTACTTATATTTTCATGAATTTTACAAGTATATATTTCTTTAATTTTAATGTATATAAATTAGATATTAAATAATTTTAAATTATCTAAAATTTTATAAATATTATATATGTAATTAAAATTTTTAATTTAACAATTAATTTTAAAATAAATTATTGAATAAAAAATTAAATTTATATTAAATATAACTGGTGTAAGATAAAAAAAATTATCAATTATATTACGTATTTGATAGTTTTAAATTATTTATATTTAATATAATAATAATAATTATTATTTTCTAAATTTTATTAACTTTAAAAATAGTTAGTAATATTATCTTTTTTTTATTAGATAAGGTTAAAGCTCATTTTTTAAAAATAAATTAACTAATATTTTAGAAAATCTTAAACTATAATTATCCTTTTTAAAAGGAAGAATCAATAAGACAAAGAGAATTCTAAATAAAAATATTTTTGAGAAAAATTATGAGTTTAATTAGCCAAAAAATTCGTATACGTCATTCATGATATACATAATATATACTAATAATTATTTAATTTAATAATATTTTCTAATATATGAAAAATTCCCTAAGATTTATAATTTTAGAAAGATTAGGATAAATTAAAGATTTAAGAAGTTTTAAAGTATATTAGGTAACTATGATAATTTTAAATTAATTAATGCAAATGATGATTTGACCATTAATTAAGCTCTATAAATAAATTGTAAGTACTAATTTTGGGATGAGAGTATTTTTATGATTATTTTTATTTTATAAAATGTATTATTTACAGTATTCTTAACAAAAATTTTAACAATTATATATCTTTAATTTTTTGCACAAAATTTTTTTTATTGAAAATTACCGAGTTTATTATTTTCATCCAATATTTCTAAAAATTTCAAATATTCTCACATCCTCTCTTATAATTCTTTTCTTAAATAATTATAACAATTGTATTTTTAATATTAATATATATATATTACTCATATATTTATCATAGTATTATATATATATATATATATATATATATATATATAAATTATATTTTTATTAAGATTTATAGGATAATTTATCTAATCTTTAGTGGTATGTTATGTTTGATTGATTCTATAATTATATAAAATTATCAAATTTTACGTCTTTTGATCTTATAATGTATTTTGATGTTTCGGATTTACTATTTTACAAGATCACAAAAATACTTGCATTATTATTATTATAAGAGTATAATAATAAAATAATTTTTTATTTCTTTTTACTAAGAGCATATTTGTTTGCATCTTTTTAAAATAAAAATTTTATTTTTAAAAAAAATAAAATACAAACAAACATATCCTAAATATCTTGAATTCGAATTTTTGGAATTATAATTTAAATTCATACTCTTTTTAAATCTTACTTGACTCCCTACTAGATAGGATGCATACCTAGAAATCAATAATTTGAATTTTTTCTAAAATCTTACACATTCTAATTATGTAAATTATAATAATAAAAAAAAGAAGCATTTTAAATTCTTTCCGTGTTGTTTTTACAAATCCTATAAGGAGAAGGCTAATGATATTCTTTTTTAACATACTTTTTTATTATTAACTAAAATTTATTAAAAATTAAAAAAATATGAACGAAAAAACATTAAAAGTGAGAAAGAATAAAACTTGTCTAATTTTTATAATTTTTAATAAATTTTAATTTATAGAAAGTATTTTGCTAATATTATTCAATATTAAAATTACAAATGTTCCTTCATAAAGATTATAATTATAAGGGCATATGTTTATTAAATATCAAGCAATAGAATTGATGTAGCAGATATTTAAATTAAAAGATAAATAATGTCGCAATTGAAGTCACAACGAGACAACGATAGCTTAGAGAAAAGAAGAATTGTAGAAAAAAAGGTTGTAATCAATTTTTTTTAGTAATGATTAAGAGTCCCTATCACTATTTATTAAAAAAATATTAAAAAACTTCTAATAAAAAAATCTTTAAAATTAAATTTAGATTCGAGAGTCATTTATGTGTAAGAAAGATATTAGAATGTCCATTGATTAAATCAGTTATCTTCTAATTAATTGTGTAATTTTTTTAAATTTTAAAAATATTTATTTCACTTTAAAAGAAACTAATTAATATTTTTTAATATTTTTAAATTTATTATTATTATTTTTTATATTTATTTCTAATTTTTACGATTTTTGAGATATTTTAATTTTATTTTTTTAAAATAAGTAAACACAATAAAAAAATTTACATAAATAAAAGGAATAAGTTATTTATAAAAATATATTGAAGAAATATATTGTAAAAAAAATAACTTATTTTGTCACTTTATTTTTTATTTTTTTTAAGAAGTAAAATAAAAAAATTTTGTTTTTTATTTTTTATAAAGAAAATGTGCTTGAAATTATTCTTTGTGTGAAACAATTTTAAAAAATATTTTGAACCTGAAAAAAATTTAAAAAAAAGATTTTAGATTTAACGGGTCAAGTTTCCACTTCTATATATTATTTGTCTGTAACGGAGGAATCAAAGTTGTCTGTCACGTAGTTTTTTTAAAAAAATTGAGTTTTGATAAGTTTTAAAGATTTTCTTCCATTCTTTTTTTTGAAAAACTTGATTTTTTTTATTATTATTTTAAGTAAATATACTCTTGCACAGAGTTTAAGTTAGCACATGACTACTCAATAAATTCTTACGATCCAAGCAACGCTGAAGTGGATCTTCAATTCTATCAAAACCGTTTGACCGTTACGTGGATTCAAAATATTTTTAATATTAAATTTTCTTATTTTAGATTGTCCACTCTTTTTGTTTAGTGAACAAAAAAGCATCTATATGTCGTGATGAAGATGGACAAAAAGAAATAATTTTAGAGTTTAAAAAGAAAATTAGGATTTTTAGGATTTGAAAAAAAAAAGGGAAGATTTTTAATGGATTGGGATTTTTTATAGGGTTAAAAAAATGATAACTTTTTTAGGGTGAGAGAAAAATTAGAACTTTTAGGTTTTTAAAAAAAAATTTTTTTAATCAATTAGGTTTTTTAGGGTTGAAAAGAAAAAGAAAAAGGTTTAGGGATAGACAAAATTAAGACTTCTTGGGTTTACAAAAAAGGATAATTTTTTAGGATTTAAAAAAAAACATTTTAGGGTTTTAGAAAAATTAAGATTTCCTAGGATGTGCAAAAAGGAGAGAGTTTTAGGGATAGAAAAAAAATTAGAGTTTGCAAAAAGGAAGGTTTTTTGGGATAAAAATATTTGCACTTGCAAAAACATAGTTTTAGGGTTAGAAAATATTAGGATTGTAAAAAGAGATGATTTTTATTTTAAAAAAATTGAGACTTTTAACATGAACAAATAAGTAACAAGAAGAAACAAGAGCAAAATACACATAATAAATAAAGAATAAGATTAAAAAAAAAGAACAATAAAAAGATCTTATGTGATCTAATAAATAAGAATTTTTATTAATTTTATCCTTAAACTCTTTATGTTTGTTCTCTCTAGTTGACCTCTGATTCTCCGAATATGCTTAAGTTTGTTTTCTATTAGAATATTGATATTTTCCTCTTCTTTCTCCTTGTTTTTTGGTTCTTTCTTGAATTCTCTTTTTTTTCTCTTCTTTCTCTTTGTTTTCTGTGTTCTCTATTAAATTCTCTTTCTTTTTTGTTTCACCATGCACTTAAAGAGGTTAGTTTTTGTTTTACCGTCTCTAAAAAAGTGTCTTATTCTCCGAGAATCTAAGCTTTCTATTCATAAACATTTTTTAAAATCTTAGATGCCATTTAACATACAATTATTTATTTTAATAAATGCTCCAACATCCTATGACCCCTTATTTCTCGATGACTAGTAATTTTCCTTATCTACTCTCTTAAAAATTTATAAATTAATTTGATCATTTCTAAAACTAATTTTAAATTAATTTTTTATCTATTTTTTTAACCTCCTACAAAATTGATTCATTATATTTAATATTTAATTTTAAAATTTATTTTTGAAAGGAACCCAATTAAAATTAAATATTTACAAATAAAAAGTAGACAAATTACAAAATTAATTTAAAGTGTGAGACTTTGATTTCTTCTCATAATTATTTATATAAATTTTAATTCAATTTTATTCAATTGTGTTAAAACATTTATCAATCATTAAATTAATTATTATCATTTTTTAATGATCATATAATGATATAAAATTTATTATTTATATATTACTCTACTAATCAAAATAACAAATAAAAAAAATAAGAATATTAAAAAATTTAAATTTATTAAATTCAATTAACTAATTGAAAGTTTAAGCGATAAATTAAATCTTTTAACTATTAAATTCATATTATCGCTTAATTCTATTAACATATTAGCAATATAATCATTTGTTAGTTGATTAACTATAATTTATTATTGATTAATCAATTCAAGAATAGTATTAATATTAAACATATATAATTATAATTAATAAATAATATTAATGTCATAAAATCAAACTAATCTAAAAAAAAAGTTACATAACAGGAAATGAGCACCTCATCCTGAGCAAATCCATTTAGAACATAACTTGCAATTAGAAGATATTTAAAAAATATTAATAATAATAAATATAAAAATAATAATAACAGTAATGTTGTTTATAACTATAATTCTTAAATTAATTATATTTATAAAAACAAACTACTACTGTGCAATTGGAAATATAATAAATAGTAATTATTAAAAAATTCTAATTTTTAATGATCTAATATTTATTAATTCAGAATTTTTTTTATTATTCCATTTAATATAAAAAATTACTGCAACATCATATTAATTTTTAAAATTTACTTTATCTATTACTTAAATAATATTACGAATTATATAAATAGTTAAGCTAATTATTTAAATTTAATTTCTACTACCGTTATTTTCAAAAGATCATCTTTTTCACCGCAAAAATTAATATTTGAATCACCTGAAAAAATACAGTTAATTTAAGTATATTTATTGA